CAGGCGCTTTGCAGGTACTTCTTTCTAGTCAAACTGGCATTCCCTAGTGCCTCCTGAGTGCCAGGCTCCGAACTGGCCACCCTGCCAACATTAGTTTATGAATGCTTGGAGTCAAGCCTCATAGATTTATGTGCTTTTCCTCATCCGATGAAAGATAAAACCAAGGTTCAGAGAGAACGTGTAACTTATCAAGGTCACTCAGGGAGCAGGTGGCAGATGCCAGCCCCTGTTTCCATTACCCACACTTGCCCTCTGGTTGACCAGGACCGCTACAGGTGAATGAAATCATGTCTATCCCAGTTCCATTTCCCAGGGCCAAATTCCTGAGGCAGTGGAGCACAGGACTTGAGTCAGCAACTCATTCTGCAGGAGGCTGAATGGTGCAGTGGTTAGAAATGTGGGTTCTGGAGTCAGCCTGCTGGGCAGTCAGTCACTCAGCAGCTCCACAAAAGGGTCGAGTACTTAAGCTGAGGGTGGTGTTCAGTGGTAAATCAGGGCCCTAAGCATGCATGAGGCCCTGGTATTTTTTTTTTTTAAATTAGTAGCTTCAGCAAATCTACCCTACCTAGATTATTCAAGTAGATAATTGTGCCTAGTCCCAGTGTTGTTAGAAGGATTTAAAGAAATTTAAAGTCATGCAAAGCTCTCAGCAAACAGCCTAAATAGAGGAATTGCTCAATCATTGCTTGTTCTCCACCTAAATAAGAGGGCACATAGAAGGTGACAAGCAGTCTCAACTCAGGGCAGGGGTCACAAACCTAGGGTCCATGAGGCCCCAGAAATTATGTATGAAATACTTTGTTGGGAGGCTGAGGCAGGAGGATGGCAAGTTCAAGGCCAGCCAGGACAACTTAGTAAGACCCTGTCTCAAAATGCAGATGTAGCTCAGTGACAGAGCACACCCCTGGGTTCAATGCCCTGCACTAAAAAGCAAGCAAGCAAACAAATAAATCCTTTGGGACAAATCGTGCTCCTGGTCTGTCTTATAAGGGTCTTGGGACCCCATGGAGGTTAAGATCTTTTAACTGATGAGGACCCAACTTTCTACAATACAAACTATTTGTGAAAAAGATGAGCAAAAGGTGGTCCTGAATCAGAAGAGGAGCTGTCCTCTCTGCCTGGCCTCTTGAGCCACGTGGCCTCCAGATCCAGAAGCTACCTGAGTTCTCAGGTGCTTCCTGCAAGAAGTTGTGAACACACAGCAGGCAATGGGTAGGAATTAGGCTTCAGGAAATTTCTCTGGTAGGACCAGTCCCAATGATCCGTTCTTCTTCAGAGAACAATCAGTGTGTTTGTTTTTGCAGAGTATGAAGTTAAATACACTCAGACTGCTGGCCCTGTGTTGGCAGCTCCCAAAAGCACCCAAGTCTGCAGCATGAGGAGCCCCCCTCTCAGGGGCTGTGTAGGCCTGACATGCAGCACCTGGCTCTCTATGCCCTGTCACCTCCCTACATGGGCCAGGACTGGGGCAGGGCCTGCGAGCGCTGGAGCCTTTTGCCCAGTGGGCAGGGCCCAGGCTACCGACTGGACCCTCTCCGGTTGTTGGGACAACCGTCCTCAGGAATCTCGGTCTCCCTGTGCTCCCTGGGTGAGAAGGGGCGCAGTTGGCAAGGCTGGCCGCTTGGCTGCTCTTCCAACCCCCTGGTGAAAGGGGAAGCTGAAAACTGGATTCCCTACCCCCAGGAGCTCTGTGCGGACAGCACACAAAACAGCTCAGCCCAGAGAGAGGAATGTGCCAAGACATTCTTTAGGGTTGGTAACCGGAGATGCTATTTTGTCCTTGGTGGCTAAGAAATCACTTTTTCAACTGAAGGACCATTTGACTTACTTCTTTTAAATTCAAGGGAATGGGTGGGCATCTCCATGATTCAGGCATGGAAAACACCAAGGCAAACACACACACACACACACACACACACACACACACACACTCTCTCACTCTTTCTCTCTTAACGAGTGGGGTTTTTAATGGGATTGTTGTTGTTGTTGTTGTTCAAGGCATTGAACAGTTGCAAAGACCTTACCTACTCTGGGAGACTATCTGCTTCCTTCTGGGGTGGGGATATAGCTCAGTTGGTAGAGTGCTTGCCTCGTATGCACAAGCCACTGAGTTCAATCCCCAGCACCAAATAAATACATAAATAAATAAAATTAAAATTGCCTCCTTCTTTTCTGCACCTCCCTTTTTCCACCATAAAATTAGTGGGTAAGGAGAGGCAGAAAGGTCTGAAGTCATATCTGAGAGCTGGCAGCCCTTGCAGACTATCCAATCAATCTCTTCTCTTGCCCGTGGAGCACTTGAACTTCAGCAAGCTCAAAGCTAGTCCACGGAGCCCAACAGGCAGAACTAAAAGGTAGAAAGCCCTAACCAAGCACACAGAAGGGAAAGTCCAGGGAACCACATATATATGCTCAGCTCAGCTCTACCCGGACACCTTCAGAGCTGGCCTACAACACCTGGGGCTGACCTCAAGCTTAAGTGCCCCACACCAGCCCAATTCAGGTAGGATGACCAGGAAGCCCAAAGATGAAGCCTTACAAATCAATGAGTAGAGCTGGAGATTTAGCTTGGTGGTAGAGCACAAAACCAAACCTACTTAGTGGGCACATGCCTATAATCCCAGCAATTCAGGTGGCAAGGCAAGAGTATCGCAAGTTTGAGGCCAGCCTCAGCAACTTAGAGAGGTCCTAAGCAATTTAGCGAGACCCTATCTCAAAATAAAAAATAAGGGCTGGGGATATAGCTTAGTGGTAGTGACCTTGGATTTAATACCCTGTACCAAAACAACAACAAAAACCTACTTACAAGGTGAAGGTGAACAGCTCCACCTAAGCATCTGTATGCTCTTGCCTGCTCTCCATCACTTGCCAAGCTGATTAAAATCAAAGTCTGTGCAGGCCTGGCACTGGGGCCTTAGGCAGGCCATAGTGTCCAGCTAAAATAAAATGAATGACACTGACCATCCCCCAGCAATTACTGGGATTTTTTAAAGTTCCTCTCTATTTATGGCAATAGTTTCCCGTTTGTGAAAGTGGCACAAAAATTTTAAGAGTGAGTTGATCCAAAGTCAAGTATTAAAGTAAGCAATAGCTCAAGTGGATATACCAGAAAGTCAAGAAGGTGGCCCATGTGACAATGAAATGTGGGAAACTGTTCTAGCCAAGTCAGTCCTTCAAAGAAAGCTACATGTTGTCCTCTTGCAAGGGTAAAGAATTACAGCTGTTTGCAAAACCTCCCAAAACTGCATTATCATCTCAGATGCATGATTATGGCTGCTGGCCTGGTAATCCTCAACTTCCAACATGACATCCAAATGCTAACAGGCACTGGGTGAGGTCAACTGCAGGGACTTAAACTGTGGGAGGAAAGGTAAGCTTGAATTTGCCTGTTCTTAGAAGACAACTAGAGAAAAGGGGCTGCCAAGTTTACCCACATGTGGGGCAACTGATTGACATGGGTGGGGGGGGGAAGCACGTCAGGAAAACAAGTTTGGCAGGTAGAATGTCGGAGCTGGTCAAAAACTTGGTGCATGCAGGTGGGAAGATCAAAATACTTGAGCAAATCACAACTCGGGACTTCAAATTTTCTCTTATGGTTTAAAAATGTAAGTTGGGCTCTGATCACTCAGGTCCCTTCCAACTTTTAAGAATCCGGCTATTCAACTCCTTCCCTTCCAAGCAAACCATTCATCTGACACATAGGGAAACCACCGCAAAGAGGTCAAAGAGGTTTGCCTAAGGGACACTCTCCAGCATTAAAATGTTCTGTTCCAGATTTGGCATGATGCTGAGCAGAATGGGCACCCAGGAAATGATGAATGAATGAATAGACAGAAGTACTCAATGGAAACTACTGGGAATTTCAACTCTCATTTTCTTTCTGCTACTTTTTAAAAAATTTCTAACCCACATCTTTTATACACCCCATCCTGGACTTCTGAGATATGCCCCACCCCCATCCAAACCCCACATAATGAAGGTTCCATAAAAATCACCTCCATTGCTTCAGGGGACCTGACCCCCAAGGTCACAGACAGGTGAAACTTTCACATTCCTGAGACTCTTTGACCACAAACCGTGTCAGCCTAGGAAAACAAAGTGGTCCGGGGGTGGAAAGGGGTCTCCCCCACCCCAAGCACATACATGGAGAGGGTGTGTGTGCAAAGTAATTCCAAGTAGTCCAAACCGAGAAAGTCTAGGGCGTTCAGACTGCACCTGCCTCAGCACAATCCCGTGCTCCAGCCGGCTAGGCGCTCACCAAGGTCAGGACGCGCTGGTGCAGGGCTGAGGAGCCTCGGGCCCCAGAGAGGAGAAAGGGAGGAGAAAGCGGCGATGGGTAGGGCTTCGCGGGAGGCCTCTCACCTCCATCTACATCCTAACAGCTTCCAAGTTGCAGTGAGATTCCTGGAGAACCAGTCTCCCTTGGCTGCCCTCACCGGCTCCCTCCCTCCCGTCCCACCTGGGCCTCCCCAGACTTGCTCCAACACTCTCAGGGGCCAAGGAGGCACCTGTCAAAATGCACACTCCAGGCTGTCTTCTCCTCGCGCAGCGCCCTTCCTCCAGTGGTCTCCACCGAACCCAGTGTCCCTATCACCCCTCCAAACCAGATCCCATCCCCCTCCCCCAGGCGAGTTTCGCGGAAAGACTAGGCTTCTCCAGCTAGGTCGCGGCTCCCGCCCCCGCCGAACCTCTCCCCCTAAAGGGGAAGGGGGCGGGGCTAGAGCTTAAGGTCAAAACTCCCGACAGGTGCTGGCTGGGGCCTAGGTACACCAGCAGGGGATGGCGGTGGGGGCAGATCCGGCCAGCTCACTGGCTGTCCCCTCCTCTAAGCACCCTGCTGGGGCAGCAGTGGCGCTCCAGAAGGGGCGGGGGTGGGAGGCAAACTGAAGAAAGCGCGAGGGACACGCTGAGTTCCCCTGCCCCCCTGCCCAGCCCGGGTCGGTGGCCTCAAGGGCAGGTGGGGACTCTGCCGGGGTGCCGGCAGCTTCCCGGGGTCCTACCTGTCCCGCGGATCGATCCAGCTGGTGGTGCGGTTCGTGTGGTCTATGTAGTAGACCTTGCCGTCGAAGTCGCGAGCCTCCTCCCAGCCCTCCGGCAGGGGCAACTCCGGCCGGGGCATCTTCTCGAGCGCGGCCCGCGCTCCCCCATGCAGCTCGCGGCCGCCGCGGGGCTCAGCGGCTCCGGCCGGCCGTCCCTAGTCCAGGCGGCCGCCGAGGCACCATGATCGGGGGGTGGCGCCCGCGGACTGGGGGCCCTAATGGGGGCCGGCCGGGGTGGCGCCGCTGTCCATGCGGCCCTGCGGCCCCGGCGCCGCCCGCTCCTCCCGCCGCCGGCCTCTCACGCTGCCATGTGCGCCCGCAGCAGCGCGGTGCGGGCCGGGTGCGCCCAGCCGGCCAGGCGGAGCGGGCCGAGCGCGGCTGCCGCCTGCCCTCCGCCGCCTCCGCTGCCCTGCTCGCCGCCCGCCGCCCGCCGCCTCCCCAGCCGGCGCCGTTCCTTCTCTCCGTTCGGCCGCTGCGAGCTCGCCCGCCCTGCGACTCTGCCTCCGCCAGGTGCGGCTCGGGCGGTGCAGGTAACTGCGCTGCCCCGGAAACGGGAGGCGGAGCGCCGGGCTCCTGGGTTCCCGGGTCTCCTCCCCGCGCCCAGCGCCACGAGGGCGGGTCCTAGGGCCCGAGACGCGCCCCCTCGTGGGACAGTCCGAACCGCCGACCACCCCTGCGCTGCCCTTGCCAAGAGTAAGGGAGACTGCCCGTTACCTGGGGTCCAGAACCAGAGGCGAGCCCCAGGAGGTCAGGACAAGACCCTCTCTGCCTGTGCTTCCCAGCGCTACTGGCTCTCCCACCCCGAGTGTCCAGGGCTCTTGGCACGGGTGGCCCCAATACTCCCAGTTTTTCTGTTATGTAGAACCAGGAGTCAGGCAAGAAGTGGTTAAGTGGGAAGATTCTTTTAAATCGGGGAATATAAGTTTTCCAGGATCTCTTGTCCCTTCCCCCAGCATAGGCACCATCTGTCTCCCTCTTATTCAATTCTCCCCACGTAGTTTCAGCTACCCCACCCCACCCCTTAATTTGCAAATTCTGCTGGCTCTAGGGTCCCTAAAATTAGTGCTAGGAATCTGCTTCCCTAGGGGGACTTCCAGAGGTTGTCAGGAGAAGTACTTTATAAAAGTAATAGTAATGATATTGTTAGTTAAATTGAGTACTTACCTGTGAAGGTAAGAAAGGTGGGAGGAAGGGGAAAGGGAGGAGCAAAATTCCATCTAGAAAAATTTTAAGAAATTAAAACAATCTGCCAGACACTGTGGTGTGTATCTGTGGTCCCAGCTACTTAGGGAAGCTGAAGCAGGAGGATCACTTGAGCCTGGGAATTCCAGGACAGTCCAGTGAAAAAAGCAAGACACCCACTTGAAACATAAAAATAAATAAAACAGAGACAATGTTTCTTGAAAATACTGAATTAAATACAAAAGAAGAGGGTAGCAGGACTGAGTTAGGATCAGCTAGATTTGGACTTCTACAGGACTTAGGTGTTGTTTCCCCGAGGATGAGATCAACCATTTTTGCAGTGGACATATGATCGGAAGCTGGACTAGAGAAATGAAGCACAGTACAGTGTGTCCTCTTGTCTGAGTCCTGCAGTCTCCCAGAAATGTCACTCCCTGGGCCTGTATGGGCCAGAATGTGCTGAGCAAGAGAGGGACTCCCCTGCTCATGGTGTCATCTCTGCTTGATAGAGAAGACCCTCCATGGTGAGCTCCTCACCTTCTGCAAAGTTAATTATTTCCCCGAGGTCAGGGCTGAGGGGCTCAGTGTATGGTTCTTCGTTCCCACCTTCCACAAATCCTAGACACCAGAGTCCAGGAACTCTGGCCTCAGGAAGGTTCCAAACACCCAAAAGTAGGAGTTCCCCATTCCCTCATGGGGAATTCCCTCAGCCCTCTCCACTTTCTCTACTTGGGCCATCTTTCACTATGTAAAAAATTCCCAATTTTATTTTTCCTATTGTGCCAAGAATCCAGTCTGGGCCTTGCACATACCAAGCAAGTGACTTTGTGCTGAGCTACAGCCCCAGAAAAACCTCCAATTATTGATTAGAGCACAGCTCAGAAGTGAAGCTGACCAGAAGCTACATGTTTCTCACACCTGATCTCCTTTAATCTTCACAACGACCCTCTGGAGTAGGGCAATATATTGTGCCCATTTTATGGACAAGGAAGTTGAGGTTTCATAATGGCCAGGGGCACCCAGTTAATGAGACAAACTAGGTTTGTCTGACTCTAATGCCATTGCTTTCGACCACCAACCTATGCTTTCCTTCTTTTAAAAATTCTCCCATAGCTCTAGGACCTCTCTGTAGTTCAGGTCTGGAATATCATGGGTGCTGACAAATATCATCTCTATTGATATTTGTTTCATATATATATATATATATATATATATATTTTTTTTTTTTTTTTTTTTGAGAAGCAAGGCTGCTTGGATCCCGGACTCACACTACTTTCCAGCCGTGTGAACTTGGGCGACTTGTTGAATGGAAGTATTAGTTCTGGGCCTGAAAAAAAAATCACATAATAACGTGGACTCCTTAGGGATGGTTGTAAAGGGCAAAATGAGATGAGAAGCCATCACCTCAGGAGCCCCAGGTCTAGCAGCAAGCAACCTCTATGAATTGTAGACCATTTCTGCTCAAAACATAAGCTCATGTCCATCCCCAAAAATTATGGGTGGCTGCTTGTGATAGTTCTAATTGTTGATTTCTTGTGTCGTATTTTCCAACCAAACCTTCTAACTAACTGTGCTCCTTGTGAAACACCTTGCAGATTTTCAAATCTGACTTTCTTTGTAACTCTGATGCCCACCACCTGGCATTTACTTCTCCTTTGGACTTTTACACCTGACATGGAAAACAGGAAGAAGACCAGGGTAGGAACTGACTCAAGGATTTGGCCCTCCCACCCCCAACAAAAGAATCCCAGGTTATCTCCCTGAAGCTCAAGCAGGGTGAGGTCATAAAACAGATGGCCACCTGCCCCACGCCATGGCAGGTGAATCATCCCCCTGGCATTCTGTGAGGCCCAGGGCAAACGTGCAGGGGATTAAAGGGAGAACCGGCTCAGCCATGTGATAGGCCAAATTGGAGTTTACTCTACAGGTGACTGACCTGCAGGAATCTGAACTGAAGACAAGAGGCCCTGGCCTCTTCCTCCTGGGGCTGTGTATGGCTGCCTGTGTGCTGAGTTCAAGGAGGCAGGCCTGACCATTGTTGGAGCCAAGCAGCAGTGACCACTGGCCAAAACTTCAGAGCCAGGTGGCCCGCAGGAGACACCAAGCCTGAGACAAGTTGCTTGTTTTTAAAAGCAATGCCCACTTAAGTCAGTTCCCCACTGCAACAGCCACAAAGAAAGGCTACTTTCCACACATATGCCTTAAAGGACAGGGTGACATGTTTCATGGAGATGGCAAGAAGGAGAAATTAAATGCAAATAACGAAGGGAAGGGAAATGCCAGTATAGCTTCCTGTTGGCCCCTGCATTCTTTAGGGCAATAGAGGCTTGGAGAACTTCTGCGGAGATTTGTCTTTCTACTTGATGACTACCTCCCTACCTCATGCTGTACCTCCCACACATCCTGGGGAATGCACACTTATGTTCTGTGGCTGAGCCAATAATGTCCCCTTCCTTTAGTCATGCATTACTTGAGGTTCATGGTGGACTGGGTTTCCCCCCCCCCCCCCATGATGGGAAAACATGTCCTCAGCCAGAGAAAATTAGGGTGGAAGAAATCCTTGGCAACATGAGAGCGGAGGCAGACGAAATGGTTTCTTATTTACCTCTGGGTCCTCAGTGCTGAATACGGCACTGGAAAATAAATCCAAGTCTAACACAGCCGATTCATTTTACAAACAGGGAAAGGAGTCTCTATGCGTAATGATTTATTGTCCTTGGTCTTATTGATTCCATTTTCTAGAGGAGCAAACTGAGGCGCAAGAGGTTAAAGCCCAGACATCAATGCTGCTTCCGTGGGCTTTCCCTTCTGAATTCCCAGCAAGGTGACTCTAAAGTACCTATGGAGATAATTTTGGGTTACTGTCTGGTTGGAGCCGGTGGAGGGGTAGCCAGGAGGCCAATCTTGAACTTCTGCCTTCATTTGGGTTGTGGACCCATCTGGAGTGGCTGAAGGAGGCTTTGGAGGCTGGGCAGGGCAGCCAAAGCGAATCATCGTGGAGCTTGCACGATGAGCAGGTAGAGTGGCAGTGGGTTCTGCTCCTCAGCTGAAGAGAAGGCCTACCTGGTGCCGATGCTGCACCTGCCTGATGCTGTCCCAGACCCACCTGGGGGTGAACAGTATGGGATGTCATAGACCACGCAGTCTCTGGAAGGAGGCGTTTTCCTCCCACGGTGCTGCCTGGCCCCCAACCCTTACTGTTGTATTCATTAACCCGATTTCTCTTGGGCCAGTGGCGATCCTGGGGCTGCAAGACAGGTGGAGACCGTCCTGTTTCCAGAGCCCTCACCCAAGAGTCCTCTGGGACTTGGGAGCTGTTGTGTCTTTCACCAAACAGGAAATGAATTATGCACTGAAGGAGGAGATGAAATCTCAGTTTCAAGGGTGGGGGTGTGGAGGGAGGGAGGGAGGGAGAGGAGCGCTTGTGAGCGAGGGAGGGCGCCCTTGCTGGCAGCCGCTCTCCTCCCCTCCTACTGCGCAGCGGAGCCCTAGGTGGAAACGGGGTGGGCGGTAAGCGCAGTACCCAGTGGGCTGGCTGAAAGGAGCCGCTTCTGGGTATTTATAGCACTGGCATTGCCATGGTACCCGGGCGCTTAAATTAAACTCCAGCCCAACTGTTTAGAGACGCTGGGAATGAAGAGCTGTTCACCTGTCCACTGCACAAGGTCTGACACCTCATTATCAGAACTTCAGCACTTTAAAGGGAGGCAGACCGAATTTTACAAACCACCCAGCAAGAAGGGCGTGGGGTGGGGTTTAACCCCAGATAACCTACCAGACAAGGTGACTGGGTGGAGTACTAGAAAAAAATATGGACAGGAGAAAAGGAAAAAAAAAAAACAACCAAAAAACAAAAAACTCACATACCTGATCCTTGACTCTGCATTTTGGTGGATGT